TTGCAACAACTCTTGCTTTGTACTTGTGATATTCCCCTGTGTGTCTTTATTTAGTTTGTAGACCCATTTAAGTGCAATGGGTTGGTGACCAGGTGGCAAATAAGTGAGGAAACAAGTCTTGTTCTTCTCAAATGGTTATAGCTCTTCTATCATTGCTTCCTTCCAACTAAGCTCTTTGCTAGCTTCATGATAAGAACTTGGTTCTCCTGCCCCAAGAAAGAATAATTCAGCATCTGATTCGACTTCTTCGGTATTGACATATATTTCTTGGAGAGATTTGAACCTTCTTGGTTCTTCATCACTTGAAGTACTGTCTTGAGATGATGAATATGGATGTTCTTGCATGTTAATGTCACTATCTTGGGGTGTGAGTGGCTCTGCTTCTCCTTCTTCATCTGAAAAATCAGAAACTTCAGCTCCATTGATAGTGAAAGAGACTAAAGAATCTGACTTTTCAAATTCAGTTTGATCCCAAGGCCAGGATTTTGTTTCTTCAAATACCACATCATGGCTAACAACAATCTTTCTTTGTTGCGGATCCAGTAATCTGCATGCTTTGCTCCCTGGTTCCACACCCAAATACACTATAGTTTTACTCCGATCATCAAGCTTATTGAGGTGTACTCCCTGTAGCTTCACATGTGCCACACATCCGAACACCCTCAAATGCTTCAGATGTGGCTTCTTTCTTGACCATACTTTATATGGAGTTCCCCCCGTCAATGCTCGTGTTGTACACCGGTTGAGAATGTACACGGCGTGCCTCACTGCCTCCCTGGAAAATTCTGCCGGCATGTTCATGCTTTTCAAGAGACTCCAGGACATAGCTACCACAGTGCGATTTCTGCGTTATACCACTCCATTTTGTTGTGGGGAATAAGGGGATGTTGTATGCCTCATAACTCCAGCCTCTTCACAGTAGCTTGTAAACTGATTAGAGAGAAATTCAGCTCCCCGATCAGTTCTAAGGACTTTCAGTTTTCTTTTGGTCTCTATTTCTACAAGAGCTCGAAATTTTTTGAATGCTCCTAATGCTTCATTCTTAGATTTCAGCATATAGACCCACATCACACGGCTATAGTCATCAACCAATAAAAGAAAATACCTATTTCCAGTAGGTGTTGGTGGTGATATAGGACCACAAAGATCACCGTGAACTAGCTCCAAGACTCTCTCCGCCTTTTAGTTTGCTTGGGCTAGAAATGGATTTCTCGTTTGCTTGGCAACCAAGCACCCTTCACAGAGTTGTGTAGGATGTTCAATTTCTGGGAGACCGTGCACAATATTCTGCTCGGACATCATTTTGATAGACTAGAAATTTACATGGCCAAGTCGTGCATGCCACAACCATGCCGCTTCCTCCGATTTTGCCATTAAACATACTTGTTTGCATACCAGTAAGTTTATTTTGTATAGTCGGTTTGAAGATCTCTCCACCTTCATTAGGAGTTTTCCATTCCTATCATAAATCCACAGAAGATTGCCCTGAAGGACAACCTTATTCCCATCCTCTGAAAGCTGCCCAAGACTTATAATATTATTACATAAGTCGGGTATGTAGTATACCTCATCCAGGAGCCTTTGTTCACCATTCTTGCATTTGAAAATGTCATTTCCCTTGCCTTGAATCTGCAGTGTTGAACCATCACCGAACTTGGCCCGTCCTTTTATGCTATCATCCAAGTCCATAAACTTGGATTTCTGACATGTCATGTGATTGCTTGCCCCGTTGTCCAAATACCACAGATTTGGCTCCTCTTGAATTACATTGTTGCCCTTTAACTTAGGAAACATATCTTCTTCATTTAAGAGCACCAAGTGAGGTTCCTTCTGCACACTCATGGATAGAAAGAGAGCTGGTTCATAATCCTGAATCTGAACCAGATTTGCCTCTTTGTTGCTCTCTCGGCGTGGTTTGCAGCATTCTGACGCGTAGTGCCCGTAGATGTCACAATTAAAGCATTTAATGTTTCTTTTATCTTGGCCTCCGTAGGGTTTCTGACCTCGTTCTCCTTCTTGTTTGGGTGTAAAGTGACTGGTTCGGCCTCCCCGACTGCTACCTTGACCCCTGCCATGTCCTCTTCCGCGGCCACGACTATAACCGCCATTGCTTCCGCGTGCCTTAGAGTTTGTGGAAGACTCTCCACTACCTCCCTTTCTGGAACGTGCTAACCACTCTTCCTGAGTGAGTAGCAAGTGATTAGAGTCACTTTCCTACAATTTCTCTCCTCTTAAACCCCGACACGCCCAATTGCCTCCTCTAATTTCATGGTCTCCAGGTCTCCAAATTGCTCAATTGTTGAAGCAAATTGAAGGAAGTTTTGTGGGACAACTCGTAGTAACTTTTTCACAACACTTAACTCCTCAATTTTATCACCCAATGTTTGGATATTAGTGACGAGATTGTGTAGTTTCAAGGCAAAATCATCAATGGATTCTGACTCCTTCATCTGGAGCCTTTCAAACTCAGACTTCAATGTCTGAATTTTTGCTGTCTTAACGCGTTCCTCGCCCACGTAGAGAGTCTTAAAGGAGTCCCAAGCCTCATTCGCCGATTTCTTCTCTGCTAGTGACAGGAGCACCTCTTCCGGAATGCTTTGATATATGGCTGCCATAGCCATTTTATCCTTCCGATCTTCTATTTCGGCTCCCGGATCAGCGGGTTCAATAGCATCCCAAACACCTTGGGCTCGCATGAAAACTTTCATCTTGATGGCCCAAGTTGTGTAGTTGTTCTTCGCAAGCATTGGGTAGTGAAGGGTGACCGATCCCTCCTTCGTGTTGGCCCCATAAATGGCTGTGTGTCGAGGCATGTATTTTGGCATTCACTTCAACATCGAAGCTCTGATACCAAATGGTGTATACAGCCCAGGATTTCTGCAAACTGAAAAATGCAATTTGAAGGAATAATCTCACTGAGGCATTTAATCAAACAATTTCTGATGGAGTATAAGGGTCTAGACCTCAGCACCAACATACTCAGAAGAATAAGAGGCACAGCTGTCACTCAGTGGGGCCTCCGTCGGCCAGATGACCCTCCATCGACCAGAAAGATATCAACTCAGAACATGATCCAGAAGTCAGGAGAACCAGGTGTCTCCGTCGGCCATGGCTCCGTCAGTCAGACCCTCGTCGGCCACAGAGAGCTCACAGAACCGGATTTCATACTTAGTCATTTCTACATACTTTGTATTCGGCCCATTATTGGCCCAACTGTAAATGGGCATCCCAAGCCCAAGGCTTGGGAGCCCAGCCCGCATTTCCTCTATAAATACTTCCCTTGGGAGTAGTTGTAGGGGTTGAGAAATCATTTATTACAGAACTTATTTCACTTCTCTCTCTAGCTCTCACTTCTCTCTAGAATATATACTCTATCAATTTCAATGCAAGAAGAAAGGCTCTCTTTTTATATAGGAATGGAACAACCAGACTCTCTATATTAATCAGGATAAAATACAGATATAAATAGATATAAAATAGGCTGTTAACTAAGCTACTTTTCTGCCAGACCACTACTCCACTTCATAACAACATGGTAAGACTATGAAGTTGCCTAAAGAATAGGTAAAACATAACTGCAACATTATTTGATAAAAGATTAAATATTAAATATTAAAAACTGCAACACACATATCTCATCGATCTCAACACGCCGTGGTGTTGAAAATGGGAGGGGTACGATCCCACATTTTAAAACATAAGATTATCTCCTTCACAGAGCACATATTATGAGGAATACTTTTACTAGTCGTTACAATATCAACCTCCAAGTCAAAAAAATTATCGAAAATGTAAGACAACTTTTCATTTTTCTTTGGTTATTTACTCATTTATTTACCTTTTTATAGAAAAGTTGATTTACCCGATCACTCACAATTTCCTCCAAAGCTCAAATCTAGATTTACCTTTTCATATTATGTGTAATTTTCTATTATTTAAGTATGCTCAAATTTGATCTTCACCGTTTAAGTCTATTATATTTACGAGAGGTCAAGTGGCGATAATAATTTATATTAGACTGATTTGGTCAGATTTGCAAGATCCACATCCCCTAAATATATTAAGTGCCAGTGGTAGTTAGTACGGCTCATTTGCCGTTTGAACAGTCCCCGGTCGTTACCCCTTACTGCAGCAAATCCAACTAACGCTTTCCGTCGTTTGTTCCCCCATTTTCTACGTTTATTGTCTTGCTTCGTCCAGCTTAACTCATTGTGTGGCCAGGATCATTCATTGCCAGGATCGTTGATTTGTTTTTTGTCAGGTCGGTGCAAACAAAGATAAATATCATCTCATCACCCCTTCCTGTCACATTTCAGTTCCGCAAGCTTCTTCCGTCGGCTTATGCTGCAAGTTTTATTGTTACTCTTATCTTTCTTTTGTGCGTATGATCTTTCTCTGTGTTTGTTGATTCCATGGGCGTTCTTGGTGTGTTGTTGTGTACTCTGGTGGTTCTGGAATTCCGCTTTATTTGGGGTGTTGTGGGTGTTTTTGGTAGTGTTTTGTTTGGAACTGCTTCTTTTACCTGTACCGTCGTATTTGGTTGTACTGTTTTCGGATTCAGTGGTGTTTTTCTTCACCACGCTAATTCCTCAATCATCCGTGGTTTGTTTTCCTTTTTCCCTCTATGTTGGTGATGCCCCTATTTGCCTCTGATGTTGTGTTGTTTATCCTTTTAAAATGATCTTTATCTTCATTTGTTGATGACTGTGAATTTGATAGCCTTTCGCAGTGCTTTGTTCTTTATTCTAGAGCTATGTGATGTTTAATTGTGTCTTTTAGGGTGTTTCAGGTGTGTTGGTAGTCTTTTGTTTGGAGCTGTTTCTTTTTCCTGTGGGTTGTTGGTAGGTTGTAATGTTTTGGGTTGCTGTCAGTGTTTCTTTTTCTGATAGCTTAATCATCTTTGGGTTTTGTTTTTCTTGTGCCCCTCTGATTTTGTTGTGTTTGTCTTTTTCGTTTGATTTGTGATGTGTCATTTGTGCAATCAAATTGGTCGTTGGTTTCTGAAATTTATCAGATCTTATGTGTTGCTGATATGGTTTTTCTAATTTCAAAATTGGGTGTGTGATGATGTTGGATGATTGGTATTTTATTAGGGCGTATATGGTATTTGACACGTGCTTTATTAGTGTTCGGGGTGGTTGGTGTTTTGATGATTTTTTGTCTATTGTTGTGGTCCGTTACCATATAGCAGGGTGATTTTGCCCTACAATGGGAGTACCTCACTTGTGGTTTTTGTATTCAGGTAGTGCACGGGTACATTTGCAGTTCCAGGAATTTACTTTTTCGCTCACGTAAGTCTTATGTATTATATTTTTTTAGGTTTACGTTGGGAGCAATTTTATGTTTGTGGTCATCGGTGCTTTTGTTGTGTGGTAGCCGTGTTGAGTATTCGTTACCTAAATGTTGTATGTTCTTTTGTTTTATCCCTTCAACGTATTTCGTTGTTGTTTTCCCTTCTTTCCTTTACTTTGTTATCACCGTGGTTTGTGGTATGGTTGGGTGGTCGTTTTGTAGGTTGGGGTGAAAATGTTGTTGGGTGGGTGGTCATTGGTGTGGAGGGATGGTGTGATATTTTTGCATATTATTCGCTATTCAACTTTGTTTGAGTACTGCACTTGTCAATGCCTCCTCGTGGTGGCCCTGGTAGCCGCGTCCCTCTAAATGAACAGCGTGAACGCCGAAATAAATGTCGGTGCGTACAGCCCGAAGGACAGACTACGTCTCATAAACGGTGTGCAAGTGGCTTAACTGGCACAGGAGAACATGAAGGTTGCAGTGCAGAAGTCGAAGGTCTGCGCCCTTTCAATCATACGCTTGTCTTATTCGTTAGTTTCGTGCTCTTTGCTTTGATGATTTCTGATTTTTTTTTCTCCTTGTGGGACTGACTTCTTCCTGTGTGTTAACCCATTGCACGTCGTAACCCCTTCTCTTATATTGTGGTTTCCAACGACCATTTGTCCGCTTCAAAATATCTATGTATTATAACCCATTAACGGTGCCCTGCTAATCTATTACCCCTTGCCAAAAAATTGACTCTTTTATAACTGGTTGTTTTCTTGCCACCACCTGTCTTCGCATGTGCCTTCTATCTTCTTCCAGTTGTGAATGAAACTTACATGCTCGATGATGTTCCTGATTGTTTACTCTGTGGTGCTGAGCGCCTTCAGTGTGAATCTCCTGGGATGTGTTGTAGTCGAGGTGAGGTTGTGTTGACCTCTACAGACATACCGGCACAACTACAAAAGCTTTTCACAGCGCGTGACCCTGTGTCAACCCATTTCCGCTCATGTGTACAGACATACAATAACACATTTGCGTTCACGTCCATTGGTATTTACAACTACGACAAGAATTTGTGCCGTCGGAATCAGGGGATCTACACTTTTAGAGTGCGGGGACAAATTTATCATTTCATCAATGACTTACTCCCAGATGGTTGCCCCCCTCAGAATTTTCAATTATATTTTTATGATACTGAACACACCATAGAGAACATGCTTGATTCCACGTCCCGTCTCGATAAAGATGTCACAGTTTTAATGGATGTGTTGTCTGCTAACCCATATGCACAATTCTTCAAAACACTCACGGATGTAGCCCGTAGTGATGACTTTTCAATTGTACTGAGTGCAAATCCTTCCTTGGATCAACGCGTCTACAACAAACCAACAGCTTCCCAGGTCGCTGCTATTTGGGTAGAGGATGGGTATGAGGGCCTTCCATCAGCCAGACACATTCGTGTTTACTCACGTAGTGGACAATCGCAAAATGTGCATTACTATTACGGATGTTACGACCCGTTACAATACCCTCTTCTTTTTCCACACGGTGAGGTTGGATGGCACGAGGGTATCCCAAAAATTAATTCTGCCTGTGCCCGAATTGCGCAATCTGCATCAACCTCATTGTCGATCAGTTGTAATCAATTTGATTCCGACGTAAACCTGCTTGCCCATGAAGAATTGTTGCGGGTGACGGCAAATAAGAAACACTCGGTGTCATGTCGCCAGTATTATTCGTACAAGTTGCAGCTCCGTCATAGTTCCAGTTCATTTATCACGCATACTGGCAGGCTATTTCAGCAATATGTTGTTGACATATACATAAAAATAGAAACCCAGAGGCTTGATTAGTACCGTAGCAAACAATGTGACTGTCGTTCTGAAACATACCAAGGGTTAGTTGACTGTGTGGAGTCGGGCCTAACCAACACCAATGTTATTGGCAGGCGCATCCTCTTACCAAGTTCTTTCATTGGTGGGCCGCGTGATATGCGTGGGCGTTACATGGATGCAATGACTCTTGTGCAGAACTACGGTAAACCAGGTCTATTTATAACCATCACATGTAACCCCAATTGGCCTGAAATAAAGAATCGCCTAGCGTTTGCTAATGAGGTTCAGAATCGGCCAGACCTTGTTGCCCGTGTGTTTCGTGCCCGGTTGGAGAGCTTCAAAAAAGACATCATCACTAAGGGTTTGTTTGGGACCGTAGTTGCATACACATATGTGATTGAATTCCAAAAGAGGGGATTGCCCCATGCGCATTTCCTACTTATCCTGAATGATGTTGGGAAAATAACCACAGTGACACAGTGTGATCGTATAATCACTGCGGAACTGCCTGATGCTTTGACAAATCCATTATTGTATTGGCCTTGTTAAAAAGCACATGATCCATGGCCCCTGCGGAGTTATGAACCCAGTGTGCCCATGCATGATTGTATCTCATGGAATATCTGTGCCAATGTGCAGAAGTAAATATCCGCATGACTTTGCCCATGTGACGACATTGGATGAGAATGCCTTCCCATCATACAGAAGGCGAGAATCCGGGATAAATGTCTTTGTGAGAAAACACTTAACAATAGGTGGGTTGTCCCTTACAATGCGTGTTGTTAAGTAAATATGATTGCCACATTAACGTGGAAGCTTGTGCAAGCGTCCGGTCTGTTAAATACATATACAAGTATATTTACAAAGGGCATGATAGAGTGAGTATGTCTTTGACGGAAACAAGGACTCCTGAGGTAATAGATGAAATAAGCAACTTCCAAAAAGCACGCTGGGTATCTCCTCCTGAAGCTGTGTGGCGTATTTTTGGATTTTCTATAGCTGAAATGAAACCCGCAGTTTTGCAGTTGCAGGTTCATTTGGAAAATGCTCAATACTTGTCGTTTTATGGGGATCAGCACATTACTTACATCACAGGAGCCAAGGATTCTGTCAAAACTATGCTTACCCAATTCCTTGAAATGAATACGACTAACCAGGTTGCACGATCGTTGAATCTTCTTTACATCGAATTTCCACATTACTTCGTTTGGACTCCTCATAAAAAACAATGGACTCAACGGAAACAGAGGGAAGTACTGGATCGACTTGTTTCTGTCAATCCCACTGAAGGAGAACGATATTACCTGCACCTCTTGCTCGGCAGTGTTCGTGATCCCAGGTCCTTTTCGGAACTTAAATGTTTCAACGGTGAAACACTCTCGACGTTTACGTCTGCTGTAGAATGGTTGGGTTTACTCTCCGGTGATTTTCTGGTCCGTGCTTCTCTTGATGAGGCTGCAGTGTTTCAGTTGCCTTCCAGCCTGCGTCGCCTTTTTGCAATCCACCTTTGTTTTCTGCAGTTCCAGACCCATGTGCGCTTTGGCTTGAATATAAAGAATATTTATGTGAAGACCTCGCACGTTTCCAATCACAAAATGAGGTGGAACACTCAGCAATGTGCTTACTAAGAGATTTAGTAACTGAAATGGGACACGATTTTGGTTCCTTTGCATTGCCTGATATCGAATCGGAAACTTCTGTATGTTCTGAGGTTCCCCATGAAGTGTTATCTGAACGTGATACATTGATCAGTGAGACAGACCTTACAAATATATCGCTTTTGAATGAACAGCAATGCTCAGCGTTTGAAACAATCATGACAGCAGTCCGCGCATCTGAAGGGGCAGTTTTCTTTATCGATGGGCTTGGTGGGACAGGGAAAACCTTCCTGTATAGGTGTTTACTTGCAGCAACACGGATGAACAGATGGATCGCGTTGGCCACCGCCAGCTCTAGCATTGCGGCATCCATTCTACCTGGTGGCCGCACTGCACATTCTCTCTTTAAGCTTCCACTAGATGGGGAAACACAACATACGTGCAACATTGGCAAGCAATCTGCAGAAGCAAGGCTTCTATGGGAAGCACGTTTGATTTTGTGGGATGAGATAACCATGGCCAATCATTTGATTGTTGAAAGTTTGGACACAACGATGCGTGACATTTTGGAAGTTAATTTACTTTTTGGCGGGAGTGTAATGGTGTTTGGCGGTGATTTCAGACAAACTTTGCCAGTTGTAAAATCAGGAACACGCACTGACTTCATCAATGCATGCCTTCTTCGATCACTAACTATATGGTCACATGTGCACCGCCTACGTCTGACAGAAAATATGCGTGCCAACGAGGATCCAGCGTTTTGCGAGTATTGGTTGCAACTCGGAAATGGCACAGAATATCAGGTGTCACCGGGAATGGTGAAAATCCCATTCGCCTTCTTGATCCCTTGGGTCAATGAAAATGTTTCACTTGAATTGCTATTACATTTAGTTTATCCAGACATGCAACAGTTTCTGGTCGATCCATACGCCCTGATGGGGCGCGCCATATTGACAACAAAGAACGCTTTTGTTGACTTCATAAACTTATGTATTATGGATAAATTCCCCGGTGAAGCACATACTTATTTCAGCCATGATGCCCCTACGGATTCGAACAACGCGCACTGTGAGGACTACCTGCATACCTTGAATCCTGCCGGTTTACCACCACACACATTACAACTAAAACGTAATTGCCCTGTCATGTTACTCCGCAATATCAATCCCTGTGCAGGTCTGTGTAATGGTACGCGATTGATATGTGATTCATTTGGGGAACATGTGTTAAGTTGTTTCATTGCCTCGGGAGATCACAAAGGGAAACATGTTTTCATCCCAAAAATCCCTCTGGAAGTTTCTAAAGATACACATGGTGTTTTGCCTTTTAAACGAACACAGTTTCCAATAAAAGTTTGCTTAGCAATGACAATAAACAAAACACAGGGACAAACACTGGACTTTGTTGGAATCTATTTGAAAGAACCAGTATTCTCTCATGGGCAACTCTATGTTGCAATGTCAAGAGCCAGAAATGCTCAGTCTGTTAAAATACTTATTTGTCCTGATGATTAAACACCGACTTCTCTTGATTGTACCTCTAATGTTGTCTACGATGAGTTACTACCTTTCATCAATTAAGCAGCCAAATTAACTGGTCTGGCTCTACTGCTTTGACAAAAACTTAATTATTTTTATTACCTAATCTCTTTGGTATTCACTTACTGATTTGTAACCTTTGCCTGCAGTGATTTTGCAAGAATGGCTGCCGAGATGTTAATCATTGATGTAAAGCCGGAGACAAAAGTGTGGACATGCCGTGTGACTGTGATTGAAAAGCAAAACATACGCACAGCCAAAAATTCCCCCATGCGTTTTATGCCAATGGTTCTTGTGGATTCAGTGGTAAGTTGTAGTTAGCAGGGTTCTTTATGTAAAAAGTCACACTGTACTCACATATTTTTTTACTTTGCTTTTTGCACTGTTATAGGGAACTAGGGTGGAGGCAACCGCTTTTGCGGGTGATATTAGTGCCATTGATGAACGTTTGCAATTGTACTCGACCTACCTCATTTCGAATGCATACGTTAAGCCATTGACTCAATTGCGTTTCTGTATAGACTACAACTACCAGTATGTATGGTCGTTCACTCGTCGAACATTCATTCAAGATATCCAACTTCATGATGGGGTCGACTACCGTGAACTTGCTGAAGGTTCTGCTAAACCATTTCGAGAACTGTTTGCTTGCCACTTGACCAAAGAGAAATTCAGTATGTTATTAACAACTCGAATACTAAGCCCCTTTGTCTCCTGCATTTGTCTAACTTTTCTATTTTTTAAAATAGGTATCTTGGCTGTTATTGTTGCTAAACTACCCCGAGGCTTCATAGTGACTGGTGAAAAACAAAAACTTGCATGGGATGTTGTTGTTGTGAATGACGAGTAAGGTCCCATTGTATGCCTTCCAGATGTTTTTATAATTGACCACATGCAGTTATTCATTGTATCTGTTTCTTTCAGATTAATCCTTGTGCCTATGACCATATGGGAAGACTTTGTGAACCGCCATGGTGCAAGCATTGAAAAATCTTTGGCATTGAACGATTGGCCTATTATGCTCCTTAGTAAGGCTGGCACAAATATTTATCAGGGTAAGGTCATTCATATTTCAATTAATATATGGAATTGTTTTTAGTGGTTAATATGCATTTAATTTCAATGTAGGTCTGTCGCTGGTAACCCGCTATGATTCCCACATGGAACTTAACCCTGGAGGTGAACGTGCTTTGGTGCCAAAAAAATTGGTACTTTTTTTCCCAACAAAATTTTCCTTTGTACCATGTCCCTGTCTTACACTGACGTGCACTTGTCGTGAGGTGCACTCAAAATAATTAATCAATACAACACTAATACGTAGTACAGTGAAGTAAGGTTCGTATCCACAGGGAAAGGAATACTTTTCTTCTATATAAGTAGTAACAAGGGGGGTTTAGATTTGTTCGATTTAAAAACACTAAGATGAACAACCTATATGAGTTTGATTAATAGATGTGGTGGCTTGGTTTTGCTTTTATCCACTTAATGAAATGTTCGTCGATCCCGGTTATATCTTTAACTATCTTCCTCTCGAATACTCAATCGAGGAGTATATCCAGTTCATCGAGGGTAGTTATTAATAACGAGATGCGTTCATTAATAAAACTTACTATCGAGTCAATATAGAACAAGCGCCGTATATTAACTTGATAGTAGCAATAAATTTAAGATGAAAACGATTGAGATTGATAACCTCAACACAAGTGGTTTATTGGTTTAATCAATATAATTAATTCCCCTTGGCATATTAACCATGAGATGCATGCATTAATATTCCAAGTTTACTACCGTTGAAAGAACCGGATTAATAACAAGCGTATTAACCGATCGATTCTAGTAATAATTAATATGAGAAACAATACTAGTTGATACTTTAAGTAATGTTCAAAATATTAACATGAAATATGAATAAGAATTAATTAATACTCAAGGAAGGGTATTAAAGAATATGAATCCTACTATGATTAATATCAAGATGTTAACTAATAGTCATCTTAGTAACACTCCCCAATATTATCATAGAGGGAGAAATAGCTATTACTATAACCAATGTCAAGAAGTTAACTAATTGTCATCTTAGTAACACTCCCCAACTTTGATATAGAAATAGTATTTTAAAGGAAGAATTAATATTCAAGGAAGAAGATTAAAGAAAATAACTCACAACTTACAAATTCATTAAGCTTCAAAGTAGCAAAACCAAGATGGAAGAGTTTAGCTCCTCATTTGGAGACTAAACATGATGAAAAATATAAAGAACTATTCTATACTGAGCTTAGATGTACAAAGGAATTGGATATCTTTTATTGTGAAGGAAAGGGGTGTATTTATAGGCTTTTGGGAGCTGCAGGGGCTGATACCCGACCGGGTATATAGGATACCCGATCGGGTATCTTAGGAAATTTCCCGGAAAGCCACATTTCTGGACATGCCCGGTCGGGTATGTCGGTTTACCCGATCGGGTATGTGACAAATCTTTACGAAAATTTGCTCCCACGATCCTTTGTTCCCGGATTTGATTTGGACAACCGAATCAAGCAAATACTCGATCGGGTATTGCCTATACCCGACCGGGTATACGAGTAATTTTTCCAAATCAAAATCTTTCTTGTCTCCTTGCACTTTCCTTGATCTTTTGAGGTCCAATCTTGATCCCTTGGATGAGCTTTGACCTGTTTAGCTCAGAATAGTCCTAATCTAAACAAATTACAAATAATTATGAAAACAAAGTATTACACCAAAAATGTGTAATTTCCACAACTAGAACTAATAAAAACTAGTTAATCCTTCTTGATAATCCTTGTGTTTGATTCATTTTGAAACACAAGGTCTGCGGATAATAGGGGGAAGATTAACAACTTATTGCATGCGAAGGAATACGTCAATGCTCTCACTAATACTATAGACCCTGTTGCACAGTCTCGCATCACTCTTGCAACCTTGGAATCTGAACTGAATAAGGTTTGTTTACAACAATATGGGACACTCTCTGCATTGTATATGTTTTGCTAATACACGTAATGCCCACAGGTTTCAGTTGTTTGGGTATGTGCCAAATTGAATCTTGCTAACACTTCTGGAGAGGCATACTACATTGGGTGCAACTATTGTAACCGCCGCGTTTACGCTCCGGAAGGCAGTGACTTTCAGTGCATGTTTTGTGGTCAGAAGCACGGGCAAACAGTCAAAAGGTGTGTGATTTTTACCAAAGTTCAGTTCCTAAGGTACTGATCCCTATTTGTTGAATAGTTTAATGTTCTAGCAGATTTATACTCAACAGAACACTCAGTGACAACACCACGTCCATTCCAGTGACACTATTCACCGCTGACGTCCTTAAGATTTACTCTTACACTCTCATGAATCCTGAACATGATTTTGATTTGGAAGAGTTAGATGCAAAGTTGCACAAAATGTCTCGTATTGCTGGAGTCAAGCGCGCTAAACCAAATGACGAAGGCCTTCGTTCAAACCCCTACAATATTGTGTGTTTCCCAACATAGTGGTTCTACCACAGCCACTCTTGCATCGCCCCCTGCTTCGTCAGTTTCAAGTGAAGCTGAACCTAGCCAAGCTAAGAGGAAACTCGCATTCACCTTCTTGAATGACTTGCCATTGCCTCAACCTGCTGCACCACCTGTGCTTCCTTTGCAGAAAGGGTACTCTGCTGATGAAAACCACACTTCCTCAGGTTCGGAGGAAACTGAAGTTACCCCATCTAAAAAAACAGACTGCGAAGGAACTGAGCAAGGTTTCGTTGCCTCAAAGTGGTGGCTCGGCTGCAGTATCTTCTGAGGAACAAGATGCAGAGAATCTTCCCCTCACCAACTTCCGCATTAAGAAACGCAGAAACTAACTTTGCCCATTGTTGGGTTTTTTTGTTCACCCACTGGTTTAGTGCAAGTCTTGTACGCCTGCTGCTGTATATGCATAAATACACACCCTTTTGTTGGAACTGTAGGCCCTTTTTTCTAGACAATGTAGAACTACGCACATGTAGGGATCGATAGATAGGTCACACATACCTATTCTATTCCCATTATGTATGCCTACATTTTTGCAGGACTTTGCCTAATACGCATGACGCACATTGTATAACACATGTAGTTAATATTTGATACTTTTGCATAACTGACCCATGTAATTAACTGTCATGTACTTTTCATATATGTGCACACGAATTGGTTCCGTATTGATGTATATACAGGAAAATGCGGTTCCAGCACGCAACGCTCTGGAGTATTGTTTTTGAAGCACTAGCACGTTTTGTGAGGACTACTTAACATACAAACTAATGCATAATTAAGTCAAACTTTGGCTCAGATGCAACAAGTTCATTGCCGATTTGTTCTGCTTCAAAGAATTACAATCAACCTATATCAGGTAACATATTATGCATCATGTATATGTATACACATTCAATTATGCAATGATTTGTCTTTTAGTTATTTTGTCTCTACCTTTACTAATATAATATCAATTTTACCTTTTATTTTATTTTTTTATCTCCATCCAATTCATCATGCAATTGACTACAAGTAGAGTAGTAAAAACAAAAACACCACTTCAAATATTCTTCTTTGCCTCTCTCGATTATAAATAGACTTACAGCGCACTTCCATTTACTTTCCGTACCAATTGTCCCTTTGTCTTCCTCTCTGATGTCCAGAGAACCCCGCGTTCATCACTACAGGTTTCAGCGCCATTCCTTCTTCCTACACGCGTGACAGGTTAGTTATCCACGCTCTCTGGTTTTCAAAGTTTTGTTACTACGTTAGCCACGCTTGCATTGTGGGTAGATAATCACTCTTGTTTTTTACTTTAGCGTAATACTTTTATGCGTTTGTAATTGTCATCTCCTTGCTCTCCCTGTTTATGCATGTTAGGATTAGTTTTTGATGAACCATTTGAAATGCTAGAGCTTCTCTTTGTTCATAAAATCTTTTATTTGTTTATTCTTAATAGTTCTATGGATTTGTTCACCAATTATGCTGATCAAACTGGCGTTGATGGAAATGGAAGAGAAACAGACACATATTGTATGCATATGCACACAGTACATGGACGAAATTTTTTTTTTCCTATTGTCACCTACACAAATGATAAGAAGTATGAATGCGATACGAGTCCAGACTGGACGAACTTTTTGCGCGCTACTGGCTATTTCAGTCTTATGCCAGAACACTGCAGGAACCAAGCAGAGGTTGAACACATTTTGCCCAATTTTGTGAACAAAGGTGTCTCCATGCCTATACTCACAGGTTGCTTCTCAGTTGTTCTTTTCTCTTGTGCACTATTTCCCATTGCATATTGTAACTACGTAGCACAAACCATCTTTGTTCGTTCTCATAACTTTTACTTTTGTGTTGTTTGATCTATTTAGCGTGCCCACGGAGTAATTTATTTCATTTCCCAAATGTCATGAAATTCACCATTATTTGGTTTCTCTTGAAAGTCACCAAAAATGAATTTATTGTACACTTCTTCCATCCCATTTGCATTCACTTATTTCATTATCGCTCTTTATTCTAACACAAACACTATTTACATTCAAATGATATTCTCCAGGACATACCTTTGCGCATTCGTCGACATCTGTTGTACTTGTATCTGAAGAAGAACCGCCACTGCCATCTGACCCAGCTGTGGATGATGTCTCCTCAGAACCTGCTGCAGATGTTGTTGTTGTGACCAAAAGGAAGTTCAATTTCAAATCGCTAATAAAGTCCCTCTGCCTACTGAGAATTCAAAAGAAGAACCGCTTGCGAGCGTGCACAACAGGAAGCGCAAAGCTTCTGCTGTTTGACACCCACAGTCAATTCTCACCATGCCACCTTGCCATTCATTGGAATGTGTTAGGTTGTCTGTGCGTCATGTACATTTTCTATTTTTTCCCCAAACTTTCCAGGTTAAGCAATAGGTTTTGGTACTCTACAATGACCACTCCCACTGTTATCCTATCTAGCAGCCCTTTTCGGCTCTACATTAATTGCCCATCTATGCTTTTTAATGGTTGTTATGTATATGCGAACTCATAAACATGTTGGCCTTTTTAGATGTGTTCACCGCCGTATTGTAAATATGAACCCATTCACGTTTGGACATGTTTGTTGACTGCAATCCTGGAGAAGTCTATAATCAAGTAAATTTCCATTCTGGAGAAACCTATAACCAAAGAAGATGCGGTTATGTATACCATTACTGGAATCATTGAGGAGGTTGTTGAAACAACCTTAAACATGTTAGGAATATTTTATATTGTCCAATCTAATTAAATATCTTTGTATTTGTGTAGTTATTAATTAAACGTGTAATACGGGCCACAAATGTGTATCAGCCCGGGGGCTTCCTTGTAACCCGTAAGTTAGCTAACTTCTCCTAAAAAAGGAGGCTAAGTTACGGGAACCCTAACTAATCGAGGAGAGGCTTTAGAGACACAGAGGCGTAGAGATAGAGAGATTAGGGTTGCCGCTTCTCTCCTTCTCCAGAGAGAGCAGCGGCCGGTTTATACGGTATACCAGATTTGGTTTTAATCATCTCGATATCTTTCTATTTGCTTCTTCTTAACTGCTATGGTTGTTTGATTCTTTAGTATTTTGGGACTAACAATTGGTATCAGAGCCGAGGCGTGAAACAGGTTGGATCTATCTGCGATTTTTTTTTTGGATCTAATGAAGAATTGCTCTGTTTTTCTTCTGTTTTTCTATATGTAGAGATTTGCTCCTGTAATCTTGTTTGTGAACGAAATTTTGTAAAAACCATACTGTTGGACTCACCTTTCAAAACCAATCAAGCAGCATACCTTATTTTTTATTTTCTGCATTTTTTATATTTCGAAGATCTCTACATTGAGATCTCGAAATCCTTATTTTTCACTCCTGCAGAAACGTTTTTGACTTGAAACTGATACAGGAGAATCTCGACCTTCAGGGCTTTTCAGAACAAGTTTCAGATTTTAAGAAATCGTTGTTTTCATTTTGCAGGATCTCGACATTTAGGGACTCGATTTCCTCTTCTCGACTTTTGAAATCTCGATATTTGACATCTCGAGTTTTGACATCTCGAGTTTTGACATCTCGAGTTTTGTCATCTCGAGTTTTGACATCTCGAGTTTTGACATCTCGAGTTTTGACATCTCGAGTTTTGTCATCTCGAGTTTTGACATCTCGAGTTTTGAAATCTCGAGTTTTGAAACCTCGAGTTTTGGAATTTCGAGTTTTGGGATTTCGACATTTGGGATCTCGATGTTTAGGATCTCGACATTCTTCAGATTTCGAGATTTTCAAAATCTCTCGATGTTTTGAATTTTTCAAAGTTTGGAGTTTCTTGAATCACTGATCTCTTCTAAACTTGATATCTTTCCTATTCAGAACACTTCGAAGCTTTACATTATAGGATTTTTGGATGAATCTCTGTTTTTCAAAGTTTTTAGAAGTTTTCAATGTTCTGATGTTTTTCAAACAGCAAGTTTTCGATTTTCTAATGTTTTCGAAACTCCAAAGTTTTCGATGTTCCAAACATTTTGAAATTCTGCAGATTTCGATATTCTGAGGTTTGTTTTGCAGGTGAACTTCGCCATTATTCTTCGAGGCAAACTCGAGATTAAGATCTCGAGATTTAAAACTCGAGATTGTAATCTCGAGATTTAAAACTCGAGATTGTAATCTCGAGATTTAAAACTCGAGATTGTAATCTCGAGATTTAAAACTCGAGATTGTAATCTCGAGATTTAAAACTCGAGATTCTAATCTCGAGATTTAAACCTCGAGATTCTAATCTCGAGATTTAAACCTCGAGATTGTAATCTCGAGATTTATACCTCGAGATTGTAATCTCGAGATTTAAACCTCGAGATTGTAATCTCGAGATTTAAACCTCGAGATTCGGATTTCGAGGTATTGCCTTAGAATTTTGTTTAAAATCCACCTGCTCGCGATATTCAACTTCGAGAACCTCAACTTCGAAGAAATTCCTCAAAAACTCAAAATTAGAGATTTTCTGCGACACCGCACTGTTTTGGCCATAACTTTTGACTCGGTGATCCGATTTGAGCAAACTTTTTTTGTTGGAAAGCTAACGAAAAGATCTACATTAATTCTCGGGCTATGCCCCAGAACCCTTTCTCACGCGCCCTCACTCGCAGTCTTTGAGGGTCAAACGTTAGTTTTCCGACAAACATTGTAAATCACTGATGTCCAGGTCAAAACTTAGGCAAATCTGTTCAAATTCTTTCAATGTCAACCCTGAGGTCAAAGCTTTTCTATGCTCCCCTATAAAGGTCCGAAAATTGTAGATAATTCAATCAACCTCGCGTCAACGGTCATCTTACAACAATCAACAATCAACCACTGAAGCCTCCTCTGACTCATCAACATTATGTGATCATCAATATGCTGAAATTCTACATGGTGAGCTCAGGGAAACCGTCATGTGTGGTACTTGTTCAGATTGCTCCACACACATGGCGGGGATGACAAGATGTGAGCAATTAAACCTTGCGCATTCTGAGGGGGAGTTTCAGTTAATTCCTCCTGGCGCCATTCACCGACAAAGCAAGGAATCTCTCAAAGGATGCAACATTTTAGGGGGAGTTTTCAATGTTATCCTCCCCGATGCCTAACAATGACAAAGCATACCGAGTGCTCCAGTTGAGGGGGAGTACAGAGAGAAAATGAAGAAAGTAATGAGAGAACATGTCCCTATGGCTTAGTAAATCAAACAAAGCCTACCCAAGGGACAAAGCCGAGCGTAAGTGAGTGAGTGAGCAAGTGAGTGAGTGAAAATTATGAGCATTTACTCCTAGCCACTCAAGTGAGCAAGGAAACAATTATCACTGATAAGTCTGCTACCTCAACTGCCTACTATCCATTGAACATTTACTCCTAGCCACTCAAATACTCTGGACTATCCTCATAGGTTCAGGACTGAATTTATTCAGATCCCGGGTAGAAGATGTTGCATTTTGTCCAAACGGCGCTTGCAAAACCCTACCCTTAGACCACTCACTTGTCTCCCAACAGACATGTGTTTTATCATATTTCACGGGGAACCGCATCTCTCATTACTACCTCCTTACGAGGCAAGCAATACTGACTACAGTGGCATCAGCCCCATGCCACTGAACTTTCATTGATCACGTCGTGTCTAGTTACCAAACTCCCAAATGTTTTGAAATTTCTAGGACACAGATGCACTTTTTGAGTCAGTTGCAGGTCTTTAAAGACCCGTGAGAACTTCCATAGGTCTCATCTATTGCAGATGTAGACTAATGATTGGAAGGAAGTCATGTTGTTGCAACATAAGAATCACCAACATTTTCAGGCCATTGCTTTAGAGTTTATCTCTATAGTGATGAAAATGGGTGTCTACACGAACCCGAGTGGCTTTTATCAATTACTCTTTCTGTTTGTTTCCTGTTTTATTTCCGCAGAATAAAAGAATAAAAGCATGACGTCCCGATTCATCGGATCATCATGAGGGGGAGAGTGGTCCACATGCTGTTAACATTGAACAAATCATTCTGGGACACTTCACTCCTCCATCACAAAAATCAACACCTTCTCTGCTATTTCTACAACTCAAATCAAATGGTCAGCTATACTCACAAATCAACAATCATTATGTTCCGCTGTGCCACCGACAAGTTCTCCTCAAATGCATTCATTCCAAGTAGTCAAAAAGACTACATTGTGGAGGAGACAGAGGTCAAATACTCGTGTCCTGAAGATGAATTCCATGGGCGTCTCCTATTCTCCAAAGAATATTCATCTAGAGGCGTCACCGGACTTCATCCAAGCTGATCAAGAGCAACTTCTGGAAGACAAGGACTACATGCAAGATACAGAAGGTCCCTCAACCCCCGGCATCAAAGATCAAATTGTCAAGAAGACATCAAAGGGGATATTGCAAGGATTTCTTCAGATAGCCTTCCTAAGAAGTCAAGTTCAAAGTAAAAGGAAGCTGAATAATAACAAAGACAAACATATCCGCGCTGCAATGCTGATTGAACATGATTAAACACCAAGGGGGAGATTGTTAGGAATATTTTATGGTGTCCAATCTAATTAAATATCTTTGTATTTGTGTAGTTATTAATTAAACGTGTAATACGGGCCACAAATGTGTATCAGCCCGGGGGCTTCCTTGTAACCCGTAAGTTAGCTAACTTCTCCTATAAATGGAGGCTAACTTACGGGAACCCTAACTAATCGAAGAGAGGCTTTAGAGACACATAGGCGTAGAGATAGAGAGATTAGGGTTGCCGCTGCTCTCCTTCTCCAGGGAGAGCAGCGGCCGGTTTATACGGTATACCAGATTTGATTTTAATCTTCTCGATATCTTTCTATCTGTTTCTTCTTAACTGCTATGGTTGTTTGATTCTTTAGTATTTTGGTACTATCAAAACATTATAGAGTTAACCATTCGGAAGGGGTAACAAGGTCAAGGGTATCCTTTCATAAAGGTACATTCTTTTACTGCCATTTTGAAATTCATTTTAGGAAAAAATCCTCGAATATGCCTCTCTTTTTGTTGCAAGTCATTCTCTGAGTTCCTCTCATGAAATTCATTATGAAGTAGGATATATCTTGTTTTTTATCATCTTTTAGTTTCATCATATATCATTTCTCCACATTAGTTATCATAGGCAGATCATTTCCATTCATCTATATAATTGGGTGTAATGTTGTGTATGATGCAGTTATATGTTGTAAGTTAATGAAATATATTCTTCTAAGTTTTAAATGCGCGTAACGAAAAGAGTTGTTAATTTTGGTATTATTATCAAAAGTGAATAAACTACCTTAACTAAGACAAAGATA